CTTATTCGCGGCGTTGCCACTTTCAGCAACTACCAGGGTTGCTAACATCCCGCCCCCCGTGAATCCTCACAGGATTCACCACCAACCACTAGCTTTGCTAAACGCGAAACTGGTCTGCGTAGAAGTCCGCCCTTCGTTCGTACCTCCACGACACGTACTTGTCCGTCTTTGGCTGGAAAAACTTGAGTTATGCGGCCGCGTAACCACTGACTGCGGGGCAGCGTTGAGTCGCATAATATCACCAGGTCGTTAGCTTGAAGCGGTATTGCTTTGTCCTGCCATTTGGTGCGGCATAGTAGCTGAGGCAGGTACTCGGTTGTCCATCGCTTCCATAACCGATCCTTAAGGTTCTGCGCGATTCTCCACTGCTTCCTTAGGCAAACCTTCTCGTCAACTGGGTGCGGCGTCTGCGTTGAATTTACGCATCCCAACAAGAAGTGATTGGGTGTTAGCGGCTCATCTTCTTCATGGCTTATGGGCAGGTCAGTTAGCGGTCGGGAGTTGATGATATTCTCCGCTTCTATTAATACGCTGTGCAGAGTGTCGGGTCTTGGAGCTACCTCACGCAACGTCTTGTTTAACAGCGACTTTATAATCCTTATCAAACGCTCCCAGCAGCCACCCGAACTGGGGTTCAGCGGACAGTTAAATATCCACTCGATGTTGTGTCTGCTAGCCTCATCTTGAATGCGGTCTGTGTCTAACAACTGCTCAGCTGCTCTCAACTCCCTTTGTGCGCCAATAAAATTCGTTCCATTATCGCTCCTTATTCTGGATGGCGTTCCACGTCGGTTTACAAAATTCCGTAGGCATAAAATGAACGCATCGGTACTCAGGTTAGCAGCTAGCTCGATGTGTGCAGCTCGAACTGTCAGGCAGGTGAATATAACGCCCCACCTTTTCTCCTTGCGCCTTCCGATGGTGACATTAAAAGGGCCAAACAAGTCAACGCCTGTATAAGTAAATGGGCGCATGAACGGAGTTATGCGGTCGACCGGCAGCTGACCCATCATAGGTTGGTTTGGCTTTGCTTTGTCGATCATACACTGCTGGCACCTTCGCTGAACTGCCTTGAGGAGCGATTTCAAATTCGGTATCCAAAACTGTTGTCGGATGGCATTAATTGTGATTGCGAAATTCTGGTGATGATTTATTTTGTGAAAATGTTGTACGATCAAGGTTGACACGATATGTTTGGCAGGCATCAATATCGGTCGTCGAGCTTGCATTGGTAGGTATGTTGCCTCGTCGATTCGGCCGCTCAATCTTAATAAGCCATTTTGGTCGAGATATGGCGAAAGCTTATACAGCGAACTGTTTTTGGCGATTTTACCGGCGACTGACAAACCTGCGATCTCGCTCGAAAAGCATTCTCGTTGGACTAGTTCGCATACCATATGCTCTGCTTTCTTTATCTCCGTTGCTGTGAGGCTCGGCGACATGGGTGTTGTACTGTTGCTTTGTTTTCGAAATAGTGTTGTTGCTCGCATCACCCAGGCTGTTGTTCGTAATAGCTTTGTAAAGGAGCTAAACCTTGAAAACTTTATGACAGAACTGCCGTGCTGAACCACTAAAACTGGAACGGATATTTCTTCTGGGAGTACTGGTGACGCTGTGATCGTAGACGTGGGCCAATACTCTTCGTCATGCTGTAAGAACTCGGGGCCTTTTACCCAACGGCTGCTGCTGTCGAACTTTGGTGGACACAAGGGGCGTGTTGCTACGTCTGCTGCATTTTGACAAGTTGACACCCATCGCCACTGTTCTTTTGACGTAGTGCAGAGAATCTCGGCTATTCGATGGCCGACGAACGCCTTATACTTTCTTTCTGACGAGCTAACCCATTGCAGAACCGTTTGGGAGTCGGTCCAAAAAACTGCTCGCTCTATGCTGAACTCGTGGCTGTCCTCGATGAGCTTGTACAAGCGGGTACCCAATACTGCCGCCTGTAACTCGAGTCTCGGGATCGACATCAGTTTCGCTGGCGCTGTGCGTGTTCTGCCCATAATAAAGCGAACGTCAACTCCTCTAGCATGAACTACTCGCACGTACCCTACCGCAGCAAATGCGGCTTGACTGGCGTCGACGAAAGTGTGGATTTCTACTTTGCCACCGTATAAGATTCGCGGCGAATAACAGCGGGGTATCTTCAACTGCTTCACATTAGGAAACTCTTGCCACCAGGGCCACCATCTCTTGCTTAGTTCTTGAGGCAGAACTTCGTCCCATCCAATCTCGCACTTCCACGCTTCTTGAATGAGAATTTTAGTAGTAATTAAAAATGCTGCTAACATACCAAATGGATCGAACACCGACATCACGATTCGTAACAACTCTCGCTTTGTCGGAGCTCGCGTTCCGTGCAGGACATCTTTCGGCAAACGGTGGAACTTCGTGTGGAATTCGAAAACATCATCGCTAGTGTTCCAGAAGAGGCCAAGCACTTTGTCCACTGACTCGTTGCGTTCCAGACTAACCACTTCTCTCGCGGATAATGACGAATGATTCAAACGATCTTCTACTTCTTCGCAGTTGGAGACGAAGTTACGTAACTCGAACCCTGCTTGTGAATTGATGCTAACAATGTCGCTGCAGATACTGATGGCTTGTTCAGGCGTGTCGAAGCTTGCAACTAAATCATCGACATAATGCTTGTTAATTATAGTCGTTGCGGCGTCTGGAAACTGTGCCCGATACTCCTCGGCGTTTTTATTTTTTATATATTCGGCGATGCAGGGTGAGCAAACAGCACCAAAAATTAGCGACGTCATCACATACTCTGCCACAGGCTTGCTCGCATCACCATCACGCCACAAGTACCGTTGAGCGTGCTGATCAGCTGCGCGTATCTTGATCCGCGAAAACATTTCGCGTATGTCTGCTGACACTGCGACACGTCCCTGGCGAAATTGTAGCAAAATCCGTATCAACGGCTGTGCTTGCTCCGGACCCTTCATTAGTTGCGAGTTGAGTGACACGTTGCTTACTGCGGCTGCGGCATCAAAGACGATTCGCGTCTTTTCGGGCTTATGTCGGTTGAATACAGCGAAGTGAGGTAAGTACCAAGCATTTTGATGTGGCTCTCCGGCTTCGTCACGGCTTAACTTTCTGGCATACCCTTTGCTCACGTACTTAGCCATTTCCTGTCGGTATCGTGCACCAAACTCGGCATCGTTCTTCATTTGGCGCTCCACTGTCAGTAAGCGTTTCTCGGCCATTGTTTTGCTGTTTGGCAACTTCGGTGGATATGTTCTCCACAGTAAACCGGTTTCATATTGCTTACCTACTCGTCTTGTTGTTCGGCGCAATATCTCACGTGCTCGCTGGTCTTCATCTGACTCCAATGGCACTGCTGGCGGGTTGACTCTAAAGCTGTCTGCTGTGAAGTACTCGTGTACTAAGTCGTGCAGTTGCTGATATTCTTTCACCAACAAAACACGGGGGTTCAAGGTTGTAGGTAGCTTGGTTGGGCCGTACGCGACCCAGCCTAGTGGCGTTTTTACAGCTAGCGGGCTGTCGATATCGGCTTGCACTGTTGCTGAGGTCGCACCCAGGTATGCATGCTTTAGCCCGATGAGCAAAGCTGGTTTCGCGCGACAGTAGTTTTTTATCGGCAAATCTCTCAAATGCTGAAAATTTTCCTTGGCCATAGATTGCTCCGGCAGGTTCAGGTTCTTCACCGTATATACCTCCCTCAGTAGAAACTTCCTCTTCGTTGCGCAGTTCTCAACTTCGATGCTGATTTTATGCGATTGTTCCGTAACAACGTTGTTGTCATACCACTGCAGCGTAAGTGGATGCAAGCCACCCTGGGCTCCGATCATCTTGGCCACTTCCTCTTCCATTATTGAAATTGACGAACCCTCGTCGAACATCGCTAATATCTCACGCTTACCTTTCGGTCCATATATGTTGACTGGCAATATTTTAAACAGTTGACCATGTGCGCTTTGTGTTACTTGACAATTCAGTAGTGGCTGCGCAATGACGTCCTCTGGTGTAGTTCGGCGTAGCATCTGCATTGTTGCATCTTCGTTGTGGAGTAGCTGGTTGTGATAGCGCTGGCAGCCCCTTATGTTACACCTCCTTCTTGAACGACACTTTTGCGTGGAATGCCCCTTGCGTAGGCACGAAAAGCAAAGCTGTTGCGCCTTAACTAGGTCCCACCGCTCTTGAATACTGCTTGCCTTAAACGATTCACACTGTGCAAGCATGTGGTTACCACTACACTGATAGCAAGCAAGTGAGTCCCTTGGCCGCTCAATATGCATCAGCCGACGATGATTGCCCGACGATGCAGTCTGCCGGCCACCCTGTGTGTTGTTTGTCGGCATAAGACAAATTATTCTAGCCAACTCGCTAAGCCACTCAGAAAAATGTTCAACTGATGGATACGGTTGTATAGTCGCAGCATGCTTCGCCCAGTCGAACTGTCGGGTATGCGGTAACTTACCCACCATTTGCTCTAACAATGTTACGTTAGCTAAGTGCTGCTGGCAATTTGCAGACTTCAGAAATGCAACAACATTTCTCACTCTTGAGGAAAACGGTACAATCTGCTCCGGCTTATTATCGGCTATTGGCGGGAAATTCTGCAGTTTGCTGATTTGGAATTTAACCAAAATGTCGGGTCGCCCGAACCTGAACTCCAACTCGCTTATGACGTTCGGCACGTTGCTCGGGTAAATTAGCATGGCGGCGACAGCTTCTTTGGCGGGACCAACTAAGCACTTCTGCAACCTCATAAGGTTTTGGCGGTGGCTGTATCCAAAGTTTTCCGTGGTGTCGTTGAAATTCGCGAAAAATAGCGGCCAGTCTTCGACATTGCCGCTGAACACAGGCAAATCGTAAAGTTTTATTTGCGAGTCGATCGGTGATACGACGGCTTGAGTATTGTCACGCTGTGCTGGCTGCACGCTCTGTTCTGGAACATTCTGTGGTTGCATGCCTTCGCGAAGCCTAATGATGTCTCTTTGACTCTCCGCAGTGCTTTGTCTAAGCTCTTCTACGGAAGCCCTTAACGCATTCAATGTGGCAATTATAGCATTCGCGGTGTCTTCTGCGGCTGCACCTGGCTGACCCTCCATGCTTTCAAACGATGACTCTGATTCACTCCCTTGACTACTCCTCGTAACACCAGCCCGATTCCGCAAGAAATATCTGTTGGTTTCAGACATACAAAATGGCCTCCGGTACCAACTTTATTCGTTTTCACCGACAGCGCACAAGTGTAAAAGATGTTGAAGTGTAAGAACTGCTTCTGCTTACCGACAAAGGATATAAAA